ACGGTGTCAACACGGACCGAATCCCGGATCACCCCGGATGGAGTCCGGGATGGTCCGGGACGGTCCGGGACGTATATGGGACTGTAGCTTAAAAGCATCACACTTTTTTTGAACAAAACATCCCGGACCATCCCGGATCACCCCAGACCATGGTCCGGGATGGTCCGGAGTGGTCCGTGCTCGTCCGTGCTGGTCCGGCTTTATATGGGACTGGGGCTTAAAGTTATGAAATTGTTAATAATAAACTGTTTATGTTGTATAGCTCCCTCTCAAGGCCAAGATTTTAATTAACCTATAACTAGGCGTTGTGGCGTGCGCCTGTAATCCAGCTAAAAAGTGGAAGTTACAAACTGATTCAGCCGAGGACGCAGGTTCGAAACTGAGTCACGTCTTTCGGATGGTGACGTATAAAGGTCGGTCCCAGACGTAAATAATCATATCTGATTGATACACGTCTGTAAAAACCCAATACACACACACACACACACACATATAACTAGGCGCTGTGGCGTGCGCCTGTAATCCAGCTAACAGTGGAAGTTACAAACTGATTCAGCCGAGTTACAAACTGATTCAGTGGAAGTTACAAACTGATTCAGCCGAGGACGCAGGTTCGAAACTGAGTCACGTCTTTCGGATGGTGACGTTAAAAGTCGGTCCCCAGACGTAAATAATCATATCTGATTGATACACGTCTGTAAAAACCCAATTACACACACACACACACACTATAAAACAATGTTTCTTGACTAAAATCGACCGATTAGCTATTCTAGTTTGGAAATTATATATCACGACTACATATTCTAAGATCTTCATGGTCGCAGCTACCATTGTACGGCCGTAGGCGCTATTCAATTTTTCTCGAAAGCAGAAGTGTTTTAGGGGCTAAATTTTCTAGTGCTTATAATATATCCACAGGGGCATCCAAATATATCAAAATTGTAAAGAATCACTATCCACCCAATTTTCTAAATTTCCAAAACTTAGTATTACCTTTAAATTTACCATTCTAGCTCTTTTTCAAAAGAAATTGCTCTTTTTGTCGGCATTTATCGCTCCAGGTAAACAAGTAAATGATCGCAAATGGTCCACTCGTCTATTGACTGCCCCCATACGTTATCGTGCGGGGGCTCAGTCACGAGTAATGGCGATGATAAACACGTATACCTTTCCTCTCATCACGCACTTATGTATTATTACTAGTAGCGTATTATCCAGTAGAGGACCGAGGCGGCGTACGCCCCCACCGCGGTATGTAGGTAAACACTACTTTATTATGAATGGCTGGTTAGGTTGTCGCAAAATAAATTTAATCATATCTGTTAAGGACCGTACTCTATCGCTGATGTGCCTCGATGCGGGCAGCTAATTATTTTGTTTGGATACACCATGGATGAATAACTATTTATCAGCCTTCTCGGTTCCATCAATAAAGAAAACGAACACCCGCCTACCCAGAAAATCACATTCTCATTAAATAATTTACAGAGAAAATAGACTGGAGTGAGAGAGAGGGGAAAGAAAAGAGAGGGAGGTGAAACAGATACAGAAATACATATAGACAGACAGGAGCCAAAACGGAGAAGGGAAGACGAACACATAGAGACCGAAGACAGAGAGAAAGTGAGATAGGGAATATGGGGATAAAATAGAAGCCTTTAAACATTTCTTAAGTGCTATTTGTGAATGTCAATTTTATTTCATGGTCCGTGTTTTTACTTCAGTTCTAGACCATTTTTGAAATGTAATCAAATTCAATGCATAAATCTTTGTTATGAAAGTGCCACGTTACAATTTATTTCATCCACCTGTTACAAATAAGTGTATTTCAATAGTCAGAATGTAAATTGCATACATTAACTGTTGCTAGGTAGGACAAACATTATGGCTTGCAGGGGCGTACGCAGGATTTTTCCAAGGGGGGGGGGGTTTTAAAATATTTTGCTCCCGAAAATTTGAAAATCGCGCCGGCCGAAAAGTCGCTCAGTGGGGGGGGGGGGGGGGGGGGGGGGGGGGGGGGGGGGGGGGGGGGTAAGCGGACCCATTTTTTTTGGGGGGGGGGTCTCGAAATTTCAAAATTTGACATTTTTTGTCGTTGGGGGGGGGGGGGGGTAAGGTCACCTTATTTAGGTTAGCCGTGGGTATAATTTTTTTTTTTTTTTTAAATAATAATAAAAAAATAAAAAAATAAAAAAACTAGATGGAATTTTGACTGCGCGCAGTCGAAAATGATGCCTCCGCCATAGAGCAATTTAAACAAGTTTGGAGTTTAAATCTCCAGTGGTTCTTGAGATATCATGATAACAATCTCAATGTATGGAATTTCATAAGTTGACCTCTGTGACCCTTGACCTTTGACCTACGTGCTCCAAAATCTAATCAGATTGTCTTCCTATGGTGATACACACTATCATTAAGTTTGAAGTTTAAATCTCCAGTGGTTCTTGAGATATTATGATATGGTGATACATACTATCATTAAGTTTGAAGTGAAAATTCTCCAGTGGTTCTTGAGATATCGCGATAACGATCTCAATGTATGGAATTTCATAAGTTGACCTCTGTGACCCTTGACCTTTGACCTACGTGCTCCAAAATCTAATCAGATTGTTTTCCTATAGTGATACACACTATCACTAAGTTTGAAGTTTAAATCTCCAGTGGTTCTTGAGATATCATGATAACAATCTCAATGTATGGAATTTCATAAGTTGACCTCTGTGACCCTTGACCTTTGACATACGTGCTCCAAAATCTAATCAGATTGTTTTCCTATAGTGATACACACTATCACTAAGTTTGAAGTTTAAATCTCCAGTGGTTCTTGAGATATCATCATAACAATCTCAATGTATGGAATTTCATAAGTTGACCTCTGTGACCCTTGACCTTTGACATACGTGCTCCAAAATCTAATCAGATCGTCTTCCTATGGTGATACATACTATCCTTAAGTTTGAAGTTTAAATCTCAAATGGTTCTTGAGATATCGCGCTAACAAACTCAATACAAGGAATTTCATAAGTTGACCTCTGTGACCTGTGACCTTTGACCTACGTACTCCAAAATCTAATCAGATCGTCTTCCTATGGTGATAAATACTATTCCCGAGTCTTAAGTTTAAATCTTAAATGGTTCTTGAGATATTGTGATAACAGTCAAACGGGACGGACGTACGGACGGACGGACGTACGGACGGACAACCCGAAAACATGATGCCTCCGGCACCACCTTCGGTGGCGGAGGCATAAAAACCAAAGGGGGGGGGTTTGAACCCCCAAAACCCCCCCCCCCCCCCCCTGCGTACGCCCCTGATGGCTTGTCCTACCTAACAACTCGTAATGTATGCAATTCGCATTCTGACTTTTGAAATACACTTATTCACGACAGGTGAACAAAGTAATTTATAACGAGGCACTTAACAAAAAAAAATGCATTGAATTTGATTACTTTTTGAAAATGGCCTATTCCGTTTATCCTTTGATCTAAAATCACATTTTACAAAAGGAAAACTTTGACTTCAGACTAACCTCCTTTGTTAACCCTGATTTGAACAAAATCCTAAACCCAGCGACGGGTTTAAATTTCAGTTTAAAAAAACGGGCCTTTAGATAGACATCTCTACAGTGTGCATGCAGCCTAATATAAATGGCCTACATGAATATAGTCTACATGCACAAACTCTTATCTGTCACGCTTATACTGATATGAACACATTAATGGCGATCGAGCTTTTTCGCATGAAGCAGTAGATCCATTTATACTTATTAAACCACTCTCCATCATGATTAGTATTATGGAGGTAGAGTAGGTACCTGGAGTCTTTGAGAATAGTGAATATGTCAATACGTTATAAATACCTTACCGAGTCTAGAATCATTTTAAGCCTGTATCTGTTCGCTTGTTTATTGAGAAAAGGTGAGTTACTGGGAAACATTACACGATGTATTCTTTACATTTACCGTTGTTGAAGAATGTTTTACATTTCACTCCACTCTGCACAATATTAACATATCTATCAAACTTACAGATGGTTTGTTTGGAAGGATTTTTATATCACTTTCTGGTGTTTTCATATCTTGATCAGATTTCAACTTGTATATTTCTATGTAGTTTTAAACTATTGTACAATACATGTGATAGGTTGTCCGTTTCATGGTTCTAAATATATATGTTAATGCCCCCCTTCTGCCCATCCCCTCCCCTCTCTCTCTCTCTTCTCTCATCTCATCCCTATTTCATTTGTGTAATCACAGTAACGCTCATCCATGTACCTTCATTATTTTTTACATCTTGCAGACAAATAAAAATGAGTCACTCTCTCTTTCACCCATACATTTAATTTTATTTCTTTATTTACATACATAAAATATATTTATTTTATTTCCTTTCTTTCTATATACATGCATTATAACTATGATCTTAAACTTTCTTATTGAGGTTGTGAATCAAGATGTTCAACAGTTACAGGACATGTCAAGCTTTGGTCCTTCCACCTCCCAAGATGAAAGTACAAGTATGAATACATAAAAATATAGGTGGTACAACTTTTTGTTTAAAGTTGTATCAAAAACCATATATTTCATAAACTATCATGTCCAAATATGAATTAATAAAACTGCTCCCTTCCAAAAAATAGTATCACTTGTAAGGCCACAATGGATAGTGTGTAGTTTTGTTCTATAGTTTTTTTCTCTTAATAATAATAGTAGTGGGTTTTTGTATAGCGCTCATATCTGTCAGACTTGACAGGAATCCTGGTGCTCCACAATTATTACCCTGGCTGCCATTGCGGCGCTCTAGCATTTCAAGGATATAATTCCTGCCAGGTACCCATTTACATTACCTGGGTTGAGTGTGGCAAATGTATATTAATGTCTTGGGAAAGGACATTAGTGCCTTCTTCATATATAGCACTTAGAATGTTGGAAATATGCCTTTTTGTTGAATACATACCCAACCTCATAGAAACTGATCACAATGTTTTTTTTTCAATGTTTTTTCGTGATTCTTGACTTGCTTTGAGACCCAACCAGAAACTCAATGATTGAAAAGTAATACTGGGGATAGTTTTGTTATTTAGCTCATCTGATTATTCAACTCTCCTACATGAAGTTTATTCCTACAAACTATCAATATCATCTTATACAACCAAGCACATCAAATATTAGTGATGCATCACTGGTATGGTCGTGAGGAATACTGTGTTATTTTGTTCTTTTGTTCTTTTTGTTTTTTACTTGTTCGACAGATTTAGCTTATTTTTATAACTGTTCACGGCATGTGAGATAATATATCAACAAAGAAAATTGTTCTTCCATGACCCAAGGTAGCTTTGCCAAGTGATGTCCACAAACCGATGCACCAAGAATGCTTAGATGTGTTAAAAATCAAAATAATATTGTTGAGGCAGAACTAAGATGATCTAAATATCTAGAACTAATTTATATCCCTGCTTCCTCAAGTTAGGCTATATAATACTGAAACTGTCAAAAAGATATGGTGGTTTGCATTTTCAAGGTGAAGTTTTCTTTAGGTTGCATAGCAAAGTAAAAGGCTCATCAAACTGGATTTTTAAGCAAAGGAATGCATCTGGCACATTAACATTCATCTTCTCTCTGTTTCTGACTTTCTAAACAGAGCAGTCATTAACCCATTTCCTACTGAAACCAAGAAGTCCCTGTATTAAGCCTATGGGAATGAAATAATCCAGTAGCCAATGGGTTAACTGGCGTTTGCATCATATTATCAAATAAATGCCTGCCAAGACTAGTTACATGTAGATCCAAATACATGAATAAGTGTTCAATGGCTAGATGCATCCTTTTATTTAAAAGAAGGTTTTATGAGCCACAAAATGTCGCTAAGTTCCATGTACCTCAATTCAATATGTAAAGACAATTACCAGCACAAATATTGCTCAGAACTAGTACAAAGCCACACTCAAACATTCTGTGACTAGTTTGAAGTATTCTGTCCAGACCTGTGCACAAAATGAGTGGGTTTGAGCTAGGTTCCTTCCTCTCTCCCAAAGTACCTGACAGCCAGATCTCGATTAGGGAGTTTCCCCCTTCCAGGAACGGTGGGTTCCTTTCTTGGGGTAACTTTCTTTGTCTCTTTCCTGGAAAATTAATAGAACACAGAGAGAAAAGACATTTCAAGAAATGGACAGAAAGAAAAGAACATTGTAACATTTGCATGCTGAAATGTATGATGACCAAAAGGTAATCTGACATTTAGCAAACAAAGATCAGAAATAGTAGCTATGTACATTAATCTTGCACACTTCAATGTTAAAGATGAACGTTGTGATCCGTATTTAAGAAATATCATCTGATGATGTTTTAATAAAATGTGAAAGGCGGCTAGGTTATATCAATAGAACTCAAATTTGTTTTAATGGTTAATTAGAGTACTCCAAAAGCCTTGTGTATAAATACATCTCACTTTTACTCATTAGTGTACATTTATCCTGATGAAGCTGTTTAGAATGAAACAAATCAGAACTGATACCATTGGGCAAAAAAAGTAAGGGTCATATTTTTTCTTGTAAATGGTCACAAGAGATGAAAAAAATTAATGTGACAAATATAATCACCTATTGCTATTTAATTGGCACAGGAAATATGAAGAGATTATGACTTCAGGAGAATATACAATTCAAGACAGGTCAAAGGTCATACTTACATTTTAACTGTTAGCTGGCACAGCAGGTTAAAATAATAATAATAATAATAGTGGGAGTCTTGTATAGTGCTCATGTCTGTCAGACTTAACACTCCTGTCGCTTCATAATTGTTTCCACTAGCTTTCGCATAGCTGCCATTATGGCGCTCTAGCATTTCAAGGAAATTTACAATTCAAGACAGGTCAAAGGTCATCCTTATATTTAACTGTTACCTGGCACAGCAGGTTAAAATAATAATAATAATAATAGTGGGAGTCTTGTATAGTGCTCATGTCTGTCAGACTTAACACTCCTGTCGCTTCATAATTGTTTTCACTAGCTTTAGCATAGCTGCCATTATGGCACTCTAGTATTTCAAGGAAATTATTAATGTCAGGTACACATTTACATCCCATGGGTCGAGAGTGGCAAACGTAGATTAATCCCTTGCCAAGGGACATTAGTGCTGCAGCAGGACTCGAACCACTGATCCACAGTTCGGTGACCTTACCACTAGACTACAATACCTCTACATTGATTAACATTTAAGTACACTATGCAAAATAAGAAAGGTTGATGGCGCAAAGGTCCAAAGGCCATACTTACTTCTTGTTGTTTGGCATAGGAGAGGAGAAGATGGCGGTCTTGGAGGAATTGATGGCTCTCTGAACGACGTTTGGTTGGTGAGATTCCTCCCAACATGAGAGCTCATAGTTATCATTACAGTGGGTACAGCGGATCTCATTGTTCACTGGAATGTGTAAAAATGAAGGTGAAAAGGAAATAGTTTCATACATGCATTCACATATATCCTCAATTCATTTGATTTTACATGAACCTATCATTCAGGAGATTTCTATTAGGAGAAATGCTACTTTTCTGCATTGTAAGAAGGCTCTACATGAAATTAGAGATGACTGTCTTCTCTTGCACTGACAGGAAATATTGAGGGAAAGAGAAGGAGATGAAGGAGAAGAGAACTAATGATGAATGGCTGGCTGAGATGGCTTGAGGTGGGAGGAGAACAAGCTCAGGGAATAGAACTAATTCTAAATAATAATAATAATAATAATAATAACTAGAAATTTAATTCGTCATGGGGACGTATTAGGTGGTCTGTCTTCACTTCTTATGATAGATTTGAGAATGGGAGAAGTTATATAGACATGTAAACAATGATCATCATGATGATCATGATCATGATGAACATGATGATGATCATGATCATGATGAACATGATGATGATGATGATCATGATGAACATGATGATGATCATGATAGTAATGGTGATGGTGACGAGTTCATTGAGGGTCAAATGAGACATGAAGTCATATCTACGATTCATACTCTATCCAAATATGAAAATAAAATTAGGGGCCAACGGGCATCTTAAAGAGCTACAATGGATTTTGTATAGGCATGTTTTTGCCCATATATGGTATGTATTACAAGAGCTCGCACGCACGGACATGTATCTTAAACGGACTCTCATTCCGTTATTAATGGTCAGAAAAAGGTGAAGAAGGTATCAAAATGCTTGGAAAAATGTGCCAAATATGATGACAGAAAAAAATTCGGCGATTCTATGTTGCAAAATGCCAAACGCGCAAGCAAAACTGCGCGAGAGCAAATTTTTCAAATGCTTAAAATGACCTGATTCGTTTAATAGTTAAGTGATTTTGAGCATTTTTAAATTTTAACGCACGCGTACCCGCGCGTCATGACCTTTATGTGACCTTTGATGACATGACCTGTTGACCCTTAAACTGAAGTAAATGTGATATGAATATGAATGACCTTTGCTGATGCATCATAGAGATATGATGGATAATGTGATTTCACAAAATGGCGCCTGAATGACGTCATGAAGACTTGATGACCTTGAAAATGTTACTGTCACGTCTCATGACAATAATCTATGACTGTGCCAAAATTTAAAGAAATTGACTAAACTGATCTTGAATTATCCTGGTCACAAAAAAGTGAAGAAATAAATAAAAATAAAGAATAAAGAAATAAAGAAATAAAGAAAGAAAATTCTGACGAAATCAATAGGTGGTCTGTTGACAACAGACCACCTAATAATGTACCATACTTATATAGTGCATATCCCAAATATATCCCTATGCGCTGTAATGGAGAGAATTAGGAAAGGAAAAGGATAGAGAAGAGTGAGATACACTCGGCATACTTCCTTGAAGTCATCAGTTAACAAATTTGGTAATTGCTCTAATAAGACACGTTCTAAGACATATCTTAGTCCTTTGGCAAGACGTTAATCTACATTTGCCCCACTCCATCCAAGTGTGGTAAATGGATGACTGGTAGGATAATACCTTGAAATGCACTGTGCATTGATAACTGCTGCCGGAGCTAAACCTAGTTTAATAATTTCCAAAGCTCTTTGGAAGCGCATAGGGATGTTATATCATAGTGTGTTGTGTGCTATACAAGAACGGAATATAATTAAACATTGTCTGAGAAATTGTAAATTTGATTTTGTATGTTTTATGTATTCTATTTTCTAATGTATGTTTTGCTTTTACATTTAATATGGTTTAATAAACTCAATTCAATTCTCCAAGGGAAGAAAGCTAGAAATCCCAGTGGAAATGAGTTTATATCGACCTATATGGCAAGCAAAGTTGTAATAATACATTTTGTGAGAAGAAGTACTTTTTTCATCTCAAAGGCTTGAGGTACTTATGAAACCAGTAATTGTCCTTCTTCCATGCATGATCCTACCTGCTTGGTTCATCTTGACTGGATGTCCAAACCTTCTGGCTGTGTCTATGGGAGTCTCCTTCTTATCATTCAAGATGTTGAGATTACCTCCATGCTGAAGGCAACAGTTGAAGCAGAGGTGATGTCCCCCGGCAGCTGCAAGGTGAACGGGGGTGCTGCCAAGTTCTAGGTGGATAAATAATAGTAGTAGTGGTGGTTATTTTATCTGACTGCTAAGAAAGCATGAATGCTCGTTAGTAAGCAACCAGACGGCTGACGGCTTTAGGTACTCTCAGAGGGACCTGGTAATGAGGATTAATGCCTGACCAAAGGGCACTAGCACATCGCCTTGGTTTCGAACCCGGTTTGCCAGATTACGAGACCACTGCTCTACCAACTGAGCTATCGCGCCTCCTCATGAGGTCAATTTGGGGGAAATCATCACATCTACTTAAGCATTAACGTAAACTGTGCATGAATGTCAAAGAACAATCCAAACATACAATAATAATGATTTCTCTGGAATCGGTTTTATATACATGTATCATCAAAAGTAAAAGAACTTTTTGAAATATTCAAACAGCTGCTAGTCTAATTGCCATTCCGTTGTAAATGCAAACAAATGACAATGACAGACAAATAAATGTACATGCAATTTGTTGCAATGTGACTTTTTTTATATGAAATACTAATGCCTCAGGCACTGGGTGGATCGAGGCATAATATAAGATGTACATTCAAATATAGAATTTGTGTGCATGTGTGTGTGTGCATTTTTATAGAACTGACATTAATGCCATTATGATAAAACCACTGATATGAACCAACATCACAACAGATTGGGGAGAGTCCTGTGGCCCGTTTCATAAAAACTTGTCATCAATTACATCTGCAACAGATCTATGACAAATCTGCTTGTAGCCACCAAATGGAAGGATTTCTGTAGCTTATAACAGTTATTGTGTCTTGTTACTGATATTTAACAAGTTTCACGAAACAAGGCCCAGATGTTACTTACTATCTTGAACATTGACATCACTGCCTTTCTCTAAAAGCCAGTGAAGACATGTCATAGACCCACTGGCTGCTGCCTGCACAATGACAAAAGAAAGAATTTATTCAAAATTAAATAATTTCAATATTTTGCAATATATTTTTCCATTAACAACCCAATAAATATGTAATAAATACATACAAAAAATATATTGGAAGGACCCATAAGAAAGCAAAGCTTATAAAGAGGGGCCCTGTATAAATATTTCTTTAAAAAATGTACATAAATGAAATTTGAATAAATTTAATCAACAGGCAAACTAATAGGTTTGGTTCTTACATTTAGTTTCAAGCCTCCACCTTTCTTTGACTTATAATTTAAATCAAATACTGGAGTTAAGCTCAGTCTTATTCAAGCTTCACAATACATCAATTCAGATCAATGATTAAGCTCCAGCTATGTTAATCTTATCTTTGATCTTGCCCAAAGCAAATGTAATGATTGCCAGGGTTCAAAGGTAAAGACCAGTATTGGAAACGCCCCAATTTAAAAAAATGAAATGGAAGCTCTTTATTACCAATCATGTGAAAGAATATGTTTTGACTAATAGATGATGATAACAATTTTGCCGGGAAACTGCCTACTAATTGATATATTTAATAAATTAGTTTATCTATTGGACTGTGAGAGATAAATGCACGTGTCGCGCATGTGTGCGTAGTCCCATATACATCTTTCTGTGTACAGTGCTTGTAACTTTACGAAAACTGGGCCAAATTTCTTATCATTTTGATGATTCCAGAACCTTGCAGTACACACCAATACTTAGATGATCAACCTTTTCTGATCGATTCCACAACGTTTCTTTCACAATGCAATCGCATGACCATAACTGGTCTTTATCTTTAATGTGAGTAGGATACTGTGATACCCATCCAAAGAGAAGAATCCAAAGATATATACCAGATGAGCTAATGTTCTTCCATGGTTCTCTCTGACCTCTTTGTCGCTACCATGCTTTACAAGAAACCTCAGGCAATCAAGATGATCTTTGGCAGCAGCATGGTGACCCGCCGTGAAGCCTGACCCATCCTCTACCGTCGTATCACAGTCACTTTGAAGAAACAGCACCAGGCATTCCAATGCTAATATAAAGAAAGAAAAGTTTTCATGTAGAGACTATGATCAACCTAATGTGTGATTGGCAGTTCTAAAGTGAAGGAAACAAAGGGAAAGTAAATATTTCCCTCAAAAAATGAAATGTGCAGAAGTCCATTGGCCATATTCTTGTCCTTAAATTTTCCATGGGACGTACAGCTATAGATAATGTCTCTGCTTCAAACTTATTCAAATATTTTTCATGTATTCATTTTCATTTGAATAATGTTAAATAGTGCAGTTTAACAATGCCTCGTACATGTGAATTGACTTCTAATATGTTATGATTCCATGGCTTGGCAGCGCATTGCAAAATTAAGAGATAACCACCACAAAGATGTGAAAAAAGGACCAACGCTATGTTGCATGGATTCACTGTGGTGATAAATGCCAAGCTCTTAAACTTTAAAATATCTTTAGCAATTAATAGCTGTTGATTTTCTTCTTTACTGCTTCAATCAATTACCAAATCATCTGCTGAAAGTAAAAAAATACCCCAGATACCCCTAACATTGCAACAGTTTGATTCAATCCTTACCTCCATGTCTAGCTGCTACATGCTGTGGCCTGCGTCCGTTATCATCAGCGCCCTCTATGTCCATTCCTTTGGAGAGCAGGAAGTTGAGGATGGAGGGGTGATTGTGCTGGGCTGCTAGATGGCACGGAGAGCACCCCTTACTGTCCTGCAAGCTACAGTCAGCTCCTAATCACAAAGTGACAGGAGGTAAAATAAGGATTTCTTATGTCTTGATGGTTACTGGAGGACACATTCTGTTGCTAAAGATATGCAGTCATTATTAATAACACAACACACAGACCTTTTTCATGTGCACAGTATTTTTACAATTTTGACAGTTTCAAGATTCTCGCGTCCGCACATTTTTTAGTTTGCCTTGGTCGCATTGCTGTTTGAATGTTGGATTTTGAAGGCTTTAGATAACTTTAGATCTCCCTTTCCTGCAGGTGATCCTACAAATTTTGGTTAGATCAATACAGCCATGGTTTTTCAAAAAGAATAGGAAACTGTGCAATTACTGCCACTGAGGGGAGCACTGCCCCCAGGCTGCCTCCATGCCCCCTTGTAGGACATATGCCCCATTTGAACAACTTTCAATCTCCCTTGCCTAAGGATGATCCCTACCAAGTTTGGTTAAAATCCGGCCTTTCTTTTCTAAGAAGTTGAAAATGTACACAAATCCGTTGTTTCCTCACCCCATCTCACACTAATCATAAATAAACATTTTGCATATTATTATTTTACCTGCTTCTTCCAAGACTTTCATACAGCCCAGTTCCCCATGGTAAGCAGCTGTATGACAAGCCGTCTGGCCGAGGCTGTTTGTGGCATCCATGTCTGTTACATGGATCAGCAAGAGCTTCAGGACTTCATTGTGCCCTCCTACACAGGCCTCATGGAGCATGGTGCGTCCCCCTTGAACTTTGATGTCTGGGTCTACTCCGGCCTGCATCAATATATTTTAAAATAAGTAAGGATGGCTTTAAGCAGCTTTATTATGGAATTCCATTCAATATCACAAAATACATATGAAATAATAAGGTATTGATGACAAGACTTGACATTTTCATCATAGAATAACTTATACCTTTACAAGGGACATAAATATATTTTGTTAAATGAGCAAAGACCCCCCCCCCCTCCCACCCCATTATTAAGGAACATATGTACAGGCATGATAAGAGGAATATGAAAAAGATTTAAGTCAAAGATATATACTTACCTACACGTTCATTGTATGGACAATATATATCACCTGGATGATCATTATCATTTGTGTAATCATTATTTTCTTTTTTTAATACACCTATTGAAGTCATTCACACAAGATTTACATCTATTTTCAATATTTCCATCATCATGCTATCATTACCAATCATGCTGTCTTTAAGACTTACATTAAGGAGCTCTTGGAGAGCTTCAGTCTGGCCGTACTGCACAGCTTTCTGCATTGCCTGGTCATTGCCCTTTGACCCATAAGGATTCTTGGATACAGCCTTCCGAACCATCTCAGTGTCACCTTTAGCAGCTGCCTCTACCAAATCCATTGTTGTATCTGAAATTGATAATTCAGTTTGCAATCAAGACATTCTGTACATGTGTTTAAAAGTTATCCCATTGTCTACGGGGAAGCGTTGGTCCCTGTATTAATTCCTATGGGAATGAGATAAACGAGTCGATTAAAGTACTTTATGGGTGTTCATACTTTTACTTTGAAATGAATTATTATTGGCTCCAAAGACCTAAGACTGCATATGTGAAGTTAGAACAACACCCAGTGAACAATGTAGACCTGGGTTTGTCCCCTTTTATTTTTTTCTCCACATTTCTTTCCTCTTTCTTTCAATGGACGTTTAGACAATTATGCTTATGTTTAATAATAAGACAGTTTCTGGACATTCCTTTCTTAATCTCTCCCCTCTCTTCCATGAACCCCTCTCTCTTTCTTGATCTATTGATCTATCTCTCTCTCAACTTTCATATCTTGTCTTTCAAAAAAAAAAACTTTTTCTCCCTTTATCATTTTTTCCCTTCAAATCTGTCTTAATCTCTGTGCCTCTCTCTCTCTCTCTCTCTCTCTCTCTCTCTCTCTCTCTTCTGTTTAGCTCCATCTATCCTTGAGAAAACTGACCTGCGACAGAAGCATGAGCATCAAGACTAGAAGTTGTGAACTTTGACCCCTGGGTCATTGTTCTTGTCCTCACTGGAGCTTGATCTTGGACATCATTACTGAATGACACATTGGCTTTTACGTGCACCATTAAGCCACTGTTAAGACCAAAAGGTCGATGATCTATGACCTCTGAAGAAGACACCCGCGAGGTTTCCAGGAGGGTCATCTTTTCGTGATAGGTCATCGTCTTTTCTCGCTCCAGGAAAGACTGGACTTTCGACAACCTCTTTTTTTCCATCACTGTGACAATTAAGAGACTGATCCCTTCTTTAACAAATTCCAATTTGTTTGTGTTGTTCACAGAATTGGTCTATTAAAAGCTCAATCCGTGTATGTTGCACATAAGTACCTTGAAGAGTTCCCTTTTTGAATTCTGAATAAAAATTCTCTGTTCCCTGGTAGCACTATATCCATTCGTTGGGTGAGTGCAGGCAAGCACTCAAAGGTAAAATATTCAAAACGACCAGAATCTGGTCTATACTATAGCAGCACATATATCCTGGATCACAACACTGTCTGTTCATGGGATGAGCAAAGTGATTACAAAACACAAAGGTATGTAATCTCGCCCCAATCCAATGAAGGGTAAGTCAAGCATGTAGGTAATTGCCTATGTGGAAGCCTGAACTGTTATTCAAATTTCCATATCAGATTTTGTAGATAAAGCATTTCTGAATTCAGTAATAAAAATTGAACCCTGCACTGCTGGCACCATAAAATTTATGACAGTTTAGATAGAGGTATCGTTTTTGTTTTGGAAATGCAATACCCGGTACATGAAGCGTGATATATTATAACTGTTGATGCTGTAAAGTAGCCAACTATCCCTTTGTCACTTTTCTCACAAAGTTAAAGCTATATACATAGAATATCTAAATTGAAGATAATGAACGATAAACAATAAAGCTTGCCAATCAAATTCATCTTCAATCAAGCAACTGTCAATGAACTGCAACTGGAACTGAAACAAGGTCAGATCTCAACTAAATATCCATCCATTAATTGCTGCGGTTGGTTGCTATCAGTTCATACATGTATAGGTGATCATTACGGAATCCTTCCGTGGAACATTACTCTTGCTCAAAACAATCCAACTAAATGTGTCAACAGGTAATCATGCATGCAAGATGGAAGTTAAACCAGGTCCTGTCATCCCCAAATACTGTCATCGTCACTATTCCCTTTTTCTCCTTGAAGCGGAAGGGATCTTTTACAGTCCTCTTGTTCTATCAACCAGAAGTCCTGTCCTGTCTGTTCCAGCTACATTATTGATTATATCAAGACAATCAAATGTTGCTCCTTTGTTTTAAGAATCTACCACAAGTCCAGTAAACCATGAAGGTATTGTTCATCATCACAAAAATCAATATTTGCTGGTTGGATTCTACAACATATGAAACGCTCTGGCTAATAAATAGCAGACAAGTATGGAAGTCCCTCAGCAACAGGTATATACACGAGGACAAACTCAATTTAAGCCACCAGTCAAACAAAACACTTCTTATCTTCTCTAGAGATCTCACCTCTTTTGAAGTCAGTTGACTGTACTTCAAAAGATGGCTCATTTCCCTTATTATGGAGGACCTACAGATATGGAGATAGCTTACTATGATGTCATGGCAACCCAGTTTGGCAACAAAAGGGTGGGAACGCAGGTCCCTGGCATGGTCGAGTGAACTTGAACAGGAATCCTTAAAAGTCAGCCTTGATTTGGATTCTCAAATCAGTGGAGCAAGCTGGAGAGAGCAGAGCATAGACATGTCAACAAATGCTCTGAATAATCAGGACATTTGTATGAGTTCTAGGCATTTTAGAAAGTTTGTAAACCATTTTGTTCACTTCTACTTTCTGTCTAGCTGATGGTGGGGTGTTCTGCATTGGTCTTGTGAGTAGTTTTTGTATTTCATTTTTCAGCAGAAAACAAAGATTTGTAATCAAAATCAAACTTTAAAAAAAGAAATAGTTGTCATAGAGAAGTTTCCTGTTACATTGTTGTTTCAACAGCTGTACTGATTGACACTGGGTGTGTAAAGTAAGAAAATTAGTGCATCTTTCTCATCACCTGAACTTGGGTTTTTTTTTCAAATCCAGGCACCTAGACATGTCATAAATTTCCTTATCTCCTATATGTACATAATAAATACAATATATTTTTTTGCAGATCAAAGTTTTAAAAGTTTCTAGTTTCTTTATTTTACTTTTTTTCTTCTTTACTTTTGCCAGTAAATGATACCTCAGTACAAATACTCTATAATATACTGTACTGATTTATTTTGTTTTAGGGGATTGTTTGTGTGTGTTTCTCTTTTTTTTTCTTCATTACATGATATAAGATAACTCAAAGGTACCACTTAACATTTGACATGGTGGTGAAAGTAATCTATGTATTTTTTGGCTTAAAATGTGAGATAAAACATCCTCGGAAATTCATGAAATTATCAATAAATAATAATAGAAAAAAATTGATTACATTCAAGAAAAATTACAATAGCTTTCAAAACAGCATGCAAATAATTTTCTTCTTCTACTTTTTTGTGTTTCTTCTTTTTTTCTTCTTCTCTTTGTACTTTTTGCTTCTTATACATTTACAAATGTTAAATAGTACTTAAATATATTAACTTGTTTTTGTTTAAAGGAAAAAATTCAAATCCTGAACTTTCCCATTAATAACTCACTAATTGATCCTGCCAAAGTAAATTACTGTTATTCATGTGAATTGTCAAAGATCAATTCTTCCACTTAAAGTTTCATATGATATCAATTATGCTATGATATTATCATGCATTCAATACAAACAGTTTTAGATGTGTAATATTAAGAGAAGTTTGAATAAAGAAGAAATGAATATTTATGTGATGGACAGGACCAAAGGACTGAAAGACAAAAACAAAATGGAAGCAAAGACATGTTCCAGGAATTCAGTTTGTTCGTCAATAGATTCTACTCTCATGAACAAATCAATCTGACATTGCTGGTTTAATATTGTTATATAGTGACGATGATGATAGACATGTCCTTCTTTAAAATGCATCAGATTGTGTATATTTGAAGAAACATTGCCAGGGAAAGTATTTTGGCTTCATATCCATGGCATACATGTAGATGTATTGATGCAGTGAATAAATATTTTGAATAGGTTGCAAAAGATTTTCAAGATTTTAAACCATTTACTGCGTAATCATGTGAATTCCAGTGCCGGGTACAATTAGTAAAATTCATTGAAAATTTGATTTTGATTTTTCTACCCCCCCCCCCCCCCAAAAAAAAAAAAATAATAATAATAATGAAGTGCAAGTTCATAAACTCTGTACCTATAGTACAATTATTGCACCCATTGCGATACCCCTTTTGTAGATAGATCTCCTTTGGCAAAATACACAACCCTCCACTCCATCCTCTACTTCTTCTTAATGAATTCCTCCACTTGGCAGAGATCTGTTTAAGTGTAGAATCCATAATTTTGTTGTAGACTAATTTTTGTTCTTAACCAATTTCTTCCAAATGTTGCATGTTGTAGGGCAGCAGCCTGGAAGCTCAACTGCTAACTCAGCTTTCTTCCAGTATTTGAGATTTAAAACAAGGTCTTAGACCAGCGCTCAAAATACACGGGGGCGGTGGGCGATTCGCCCCCGTGAGCTACATAATCGCCCCCGTCAGGTTGCTCACGGGGGCGATTGCAAAATTAAAAATCGCCGGGTGGAATTATAAAATAAAGATTATCTTTTCTGTTATAACTTTAACACAATATTGAGTTTCAATTTTCAAATGAAATGGAACTTAGATTAGCGTGCAAGATTACTTGTTTGATGAGTAGGCCTATTATTACCGATTCAGTTCACAGTGCAATGCCGCCGTCAGCAGTGGTTATAGGCCTACTGCGCCCTTAGTAGCGGTACGTGTGCACGCTGCCGCGCTATGTCTGCTGGAGCTGGAGGCGATCGCGCAAGGGCAGAAACATGGTCATGGAGAAGTTTTTCGTTGTGAAAGTGTTAACCCGCTGAAATCTGGTGATTTCAAATGACTAGCAAATAATGAACCTTGACCAGTAAATCAATATTAGGGACTTTTAGATTTGCACGATGGGAACGTGGACTGAAACGTGTGACCTCCTTTTAAGGCAGTGCCATACAGTGCTTATAAGGACGTCACATGTGACTGCCAGTGCCTTAAAAGGACGTAACACGTCCACGTCCACGCAAATCTAAAAGTCCCTATTGAGAAGAAGAGGAAGACGAAGATGTCCTGGAATGATATGGTAACATGGGCAGATCTACGGGGGGGGGGGGGGGGGGGGGGGGTTTAGGGGTTTAACCCCCTCCTCCCACCCGGCCCCCTTGGGCTGCCAAGTGAAAATGTGATATTAAAGCGGGAGGGGGGGGGGGATGCTGGAGAGGAGGACTACTAATCTATTTTAATTTTTTTCATGGGGGGGGGGGGGGCAAGTGAAGTGCCGTTTTAGCATGACTTTCTTTTTAACTCTTACTTTCACCTATCTCAGATAACCCTAAGTTTTTGGTTGCTGCTTTATATGTAGTTGATAAATGATAATGCATGATTAAAGTAAAGAGAGAGAGAGAGAGAGAGAACCACCATCATTTTGCAATGGTTCAGGGTTCATGTAATGTACATTTGAAACCATTTCTTAGCGTCTCAACCCTAACAAAATGGCAAAACTATTTTTGAGGAAAAGCATTATACTGAATTAAATAAAGAATAATAGCTTTATATTGGATCATACTAATACTGATACGGGCTAAAAGACAATGTGGTATTTGTGTAGAGGTATTCCAAAATGACATTCTGATAATCAATATTTGTTCTGGTATCATAATGTATATACGCATAATACAACTGATCTTTATGATTTCTTAACGTGACATTGCTTCTTTTCCCCCTGCAAACAAAAAAGAAAAGAAGGTTATTTAATAAAAGGATCAAGCGACAAATAATCATTGTAATTCAAATTTATGCAAGGATTTTTTTGAATGAGCAATGCTTTTCACCAGAATCTTCTTTGTAAAAACGACTTTTACAAATCTCAGCCATGCAAATCTGCCACTGTGTTGTAAGATCACTTTCAGATTAGGAGAAGTGTATTCTTTATTGAGTATTTTACATTGAATGGAACGTCTCAACTCAGTAAGCATGGCTGAGATTTGTAAAAGTTGTTTTTACAAAGAAGATTCGGGTGAATAGCAGTGCTTATTCAAACAAATATTCGCATCAATTTGAATCACAAT